TAAAACCTGAAAGGTGTTTAGCGCTATTACAGTTCATACTTTGGGGGGTTTAGGTAGACTTAAATCTCCGAACTGAGCCTTGTATGGGTGTTTTAGGATTTTGCGTCAAGAGTTTAGAGCCTATAGGGTCTACAGTTTAAGGTTGAGAGTCCAGGGATTATGATTAAGGGTGTTATAGCTTAGGATTCAGGATTTAGGTTATTCGGGCTTAGGGTTTTAGGAATTAGGGCTTTAGGGTTTAGGATTTAGGATGTAGGGTTTGAGAGTTGAGGATTTAGGGTTTAGGATTAAGGGTTTAGGATTTGGGGCTCAGGATTTAGGGGTTCGGATTTAGGATCTAGGGTTTAGGATTTAGGGCTAGGGTCTAGAGTTTAAGGGTGAGCGTCCAGGGATTAGGATTTTGGGGGATAGGGCTGTACTCTCTTGGCTATGTCATAGTTGTCCCACGAGGGTCCCTGCGGCAGTAGCTGATGAGGAGCTACATGGAAGTCGTGAGGTAAGTGCTTAATCCCAAAGCCAGCCTTAAGCCCAATGCCGTCAAATGACGAAACCTCTGCTCTCCAATGCCCTCAATCCTAAACCCTAAGCCCTTAAGACCCTAGGCTGCAACCCAAACCCTCTTAAGCCAGATAAGCTCAAGCCCTAAGCGCCAAAATGCACACAACTTTACCTAACAACCCTACGACCTAAAGCCCTGAGACCTAAACCCTGAATCCCTAAAATGCTGTTACTCTTACTCTTACTTTCACCATTACTATATTTCTGTTACTATTATTAGTATTTTCTAGTAACAGCTACTTTGCCAAAGTTGCTCTGGAACTCAAACAGGGCGACCTGCCCTCCCTGCCGACATCGGGGTCTATTCATCAAGAAGGTCCTGGGGCGGGGTTTTGGGTTTGGGGGTTTGGGTGTTCAGGGTTCAGGGTTCCGGATTCAAAGTTTAGGGTGAGGCTGCTTTCGGGTGAGGTTTCTTTCGGATGAGTTTTTGTTATGTTTGCGCTCTTGGATTTAAGGTTTGGTGTGGGCGTAGGGGGTGTGGGGCTATGTCAGTCAACGCATTTCAATTCGCGTCATAGCCGCGAAGCTGTCCAAATTTACGAATATAGCTTAGGGTCTAGGGTTTAGGGGTTTAGGGTTTAGCGACTCCCAAGCGTGTTTGGTTGAGGGTTGACACTTGAGAAGCCAGGATCTTCGTTCTCGAAATCGAGAAATGCAAAGGATTGGGGAAATGATGCATCTGCTCTAGGACATGTCATTAGCCAGAGCCCTACTGTTGATACTAACAATCCGGTATCATGTTAACATACTATAATAGCAGGATTTCCAAGGTAAAGAAGGTACTTACTGGCATGCAGGTTGGTTAGTATCCACCGTAGTTCCTTAGGCAATACGGCAGTCCCTGCACCCTCAATAACATGTAACCTCCTCTCGAACCCGTCATTCCTGAACTTTACGCTGGAAACCCCGCAAACTCGAAGACCTTGATCCGAAAGTTTAGCCACAAATAGGGCTACCCTTCCAGGGCTCCTGCAGGGAGTGTAGGTTCGTCTTTTCGATCGTTTGCCTTGAACCTCATGTTGCGGAAGCCACGTTGGATACGTCGTCCTACAACCTAGCCTACAACCGTTACAGTGCATTTTGAGGTAGGCCTAGACATCCTGCTTGACCCTTAGTATACTCAAGCTCCAAATTCCTAGCTTCTGATTATGTAGGGTCCTGCGGGATGTGGTCCATCAAGTACTTTTTAGTGGGCCCCTAGTTACGCCCTAGTCCTAGACCCTCAGCACCAATCCTAAACACTAAGCCTGCTTAGATCAACGCAATCTCCGAAACATACCCTCCCCGGGACTTACATGCAATCCCGAAACGAACGTGCCCTGTAAAGACTAGGGTCCTTTCCAAAGAGGCCTAACCCAAAGGGTCCAAGTACCCAATGATTAGGTAATTCTAGTACAGGTTTTGGGTAAGTACATGATTATTATTTACCTGGACCCTTAGGGTAAGTGGACGTCCATGTTAGTTTGGGGAGGGCAAGGTTTAAAGCTTAGGCTTCAGGACCTCAGGATTGAGGGTTTCGGGCTTATACTTAAACCCTAAACCCCAAAGAAAAGGGAATTTCAGCTAAACCTCACTTTTCAATAAGGTTTAGGGTTCAGCTGGAGTTCCCTTTTCTTTGGGGTTTAGGGTTTAGGCCCTAATCACCTGAATGGAAAGGCAGATTGACAAAGACCGTCGCAACTGCTACAAAGGCGGTGCGCTAGCGTGTGGATCTCAGGGTATGTATGCTTATCTACGGCTTATATATAGAGATAACGGAAAAGAACATGGAAACTAGTGTAGTTATATTGGGGTTATAGATGACCAGTAAGTTCAGGCAATCCATCCATTCCATACGGCTCCGCATAACCCGATGGGTTTTGGGTTTAGGGCTTAGTGTAGGTAATCTTTACGAACTTGAAGGCCCAAAGTCTGGTTTACTTATAAACTTGGAGCCCCGGATTATAAGCCCTGCCGGCCTAAGCCGCTAAATCCTAAGTTGAACAGTTTTGAGGCAACTACCTGGACCCCCCCCCCCCATAGTAGGCACAATGATGCCCCCTCAGTCAACAAGGTGCCATTCGTCGACATATTTTTGGGATGGATTAAGTTAGAGAATCAACTACACTGCTAGAAATAGTAAGAGTACTGGATATTCACCGCAATACTAATACATACTAATAGTGCTTCGAGCCCCTAGACATCAACTCTTCAGCTCGGTAGTCTATTTTGGTTTAGGGTTTAGGGTTTAGGGTTTGAGTGTAGGGTTCAGTTCAGGGTGTAGGGTCCATGGTCTGGGCTTTTGGGAAACTCACTAGTTAATTAATGCTCAGCTCCCAGCACAGGTGGCTTCATAACTGTAGCTCTGCCTGTGGCTTTGAGGTTCAGGGGCTTAAGACTATGGTCTTTCGGATACAGTTCATAGCGCGGCAGCTAACATGTCAGGGTGCAGTGGGTCTGTATGTTGCCCCAAACCCGAATACCTAAAACAACTGCCAAGCAGAAACCCACAACTCCTATTGGCAGTGCTCATCTTATGTATTTCCAGGTATGCCAACTGACAATTTTCTAAGCTGTCCTACATGAGTTCCATCTTCCGACAAGAGGTTTGTGGTAGCCGCAGCCCTCAGAAGTAGGACCCTATAGTTGTAACACCATAGTTGACGGGACTGTCTTACAGTCGTTGGGGTTACCAAAATATCCATCACCTTCTGAAGCGCTCTCCTTGGGTAATCTGAGCTTGAACGCTTGGATCTCTTGCAGCTGTCTTGGTTCGAAATCATGAGGTCCCCAAATGAACCTTGCAGCAAACATGTTCTTTAGGTCTCGCGGTTTCCCAAAGCCTAAACGCGAAGCAACTTGTACCTTCAGAACTACGGTATTGTAGTATGATAAGGTCATGCAAGGTGTTTGTTATCCACCGTAGTTCTCCTGATGACGAGATGCTGCCGTTCTGTGCGTGGTTGTAGTATGCGTTGCTGCGACTGGTTGGACCCTTAAAGCCCATGGCAAGAGTTTGTTGGTGAAATTACCCAGCATAGCACTCAGCATGCCAAGCAACCCTAGGGTTCTTGGCGTTCCGGATCATGTAGGTCAACAGCTTGGATGGGTAGGCTAATCCCATACTGCAACCCTAAACACAGCTGAGTGTTCACACGCCATCTACAAGTTTTCCTTCCGCCCAGCATGCTCCGCGTGTGGAGGATTTCTGGGGAAGAGGTTGGGCGTTACAAAATTGGGGTGCACTTTGACTGAGTTTTTTTACAGATTGCACGTGCAGGGAGTATTAATTTTTTGGTGGAGCAATGCTAGATTTACGAAGTTCTCCTTGGTCAAGAACCCTGTTACTTCAGAGGCTGCATCACATCCCAAACTCCACAAGAGAAGCATCAGTTCCAGACATAGCCAGGTAGTAGCAGTGAGAGTGGAGGACATCAGCGACGTCAGGGACTTGAAGCATCCCGCTCGCCATGAGAAGTACTTTCATTTTTTTCGAGTGTGTTTTTAAGGGAAAAGATTTAGGCCTGAACAGTTGTGAAGAAGTACCTGTTTGCAATCTTCAAACCTACGCAATGGCATGTACCTCGAAACCCAATTGTAAGGCTGCTACACTAAGGTCTTCATTGAAATGCAAAAGCCTAGACCTGTTTGGCGCGCAACCCTTTGGGCTCGCATACACTCAAATCTGCAAACCCGCATTCACGTCCAGGGTTTAGGGTTTAGGGCCTACAAGCGCGATCTGGACTCATATCGAGCGCGGGGCCCGGACAGGAGCCCCAAAAAGCTCCGCAACAGGAAGCCTCAAACCAGTGATTTTCCAAATGGGGTGTACCCGACAGGCCCCAAGGTATATGGGGATACAGAGAGATTATCGGGAAGCTATATTGAGAAACTTCCGGAAGGGCTTTTCGTTCTGGAGTGGTATACTGCCACTTGCACATTGCTCCATGCAAATAAGCTTCAGTACGTAGCCATGTTTGATTTGTAAGGCATGTGGCAGCCAAGTTCGAATCGAACGTCATTTAGTGTACCAAACCCTTGACCCTTGACCATCCATACCTTACGCCAAAGACCATTAAACGTATGGCTAAAAACGCATCAGTTTTCATGTTCCTTCCCTTCCCCTGCTACCTGGGTAGCCAAGCAACCAGAAACAACATGGTGGTTCCAAAGCCAGCGGCTTTCCAGGTAAAGCCCCCGAATCTACAATATGTGGCTCTTTGAGAACAACTACTTCATGTCTGGGTGATTGTTTGCCCCTGTAGACCCCAAGCCCTATACCCTGGACCATGAACTGTAAACCCCAGACCCTAGACACTAATCCCTAAACTCTACACACTCTAAACCCTAAACTCTGAATGGTCCTAAAGCTTAAATCCTAAACTGTAAAACCCAAAGCTCTGAACCCTACACTCTGAACCCTAAACCCCAAACCATAAACCCCAAGCCCTATATGCCCTAAGGCATGCTTTGCGCTGGCAGCATGGCTTCCCCCTATGTCAACAACAGCTCCTGCAGCCTGACATTGCCGTCACGAAAAGAGGGGGACATAATACTTCCTTAGGGTTTAGGGTTTAGGCCTTAGGGATTTTGAGGTTTAGGGTCTAGGGCTTAGGGGTTTCGAGGTTTAGGGATTAGGGCTTGGGGGCTTTGAGGTTTCGGGATTAGGGGTTTCGAGGTGTAGGGCTTAGGGGTTTTGAGGTTGAGGGTTTAGGGCGTAGGGGGTTTGAGCTTTAGGGTTTCGAGCTGGGGTTTGAATCTTTAGGGCTTAGGGCTTGTCAGAAAGGAGGGCCCTTGGGTCTCCTTCGAAACATACAGGGATGCGAAATATATATATATATATACATGTATCTATATCTACATATACATATATATATATTTCTGTATCTATATCTCTAGATAAGTAAGGGGTTCCCAGTTCGGCCTCGGAATCAAGAGGGCCTTAGGGTTTAGGGGTTTAGAGTGTAGAGTTTGGGGAGACTAGTGTGGTAATCTTCCAACTTTCATACCCTGATATATTGTAATCCTTATTATGGCCCTCCAGAAATTGTACTTTTAATTTTGGGAAACACCTTATAGTGTAGATAGCTGTACTCATGCTGAAAACTAACATGTTTTGTGAATCACATACAGCATACCCTCAAACGCTTACTGCAGCTATGCAGTTGCAATTTAGAACCCTAAACCCTTAAAACCTAAACTCTAAACCCTAAACCGGTGGAATCCAGGCACAATGGAATGAGTTTAGCGGATGCTACTCCGCTGGATGGGCCCATGGGCATACAGCTCGTCCTGATGTCCTTGCTTCTAGTCATGGAGTAGTAGGTCTAGGGTTTAGGCTTGTAGTAGTGGGATATTCCCTTAGGGTCTGGGGCTTTGAGTTTGGCACTTCCAGAGACCCCTTAAGTTAGCAATAAACCTGAGGTTCGAGCGTGTGCTCAGTGTACTCCTTGACTACAGGGTACTGTAAGTCCCGGGTCGGTGCTTCTGAAAACACACGACCTAAAAATGGTTTAAGGGGGGTTACAGAGAGGATTCTAAAGTGGACTATTCTGGGGGTTATTACCGTAAGGGGCACACTAAGGGCTGAGACTACAGCTCACATGTTCTGTTCCTTACGCCCCGAAAAAACTGAAACTGCCTTGATTCTTTGGTTTCAGCCATGCCCTTGTTGCCTTTGAAGAAGACCTTCACAACCCTAAACCCTAGACCCCGAACGCCAAGGTGTCCAAGAACTGCCCCCAAACCCTAAGAACACCTGCTATGTAGCAGCGAGCGGAGGACTGGATCCAGTTAGCAGCCCCTATACAATCCTCACTAGTGTAGTCGTGTCCATTTTCTTATCCATCAGCTTAATCCTGGACCCTGGACCGTATATGTTTTCTATATATATATATATAAGGTGGACCCCCCACCCAGTAATAGTGACTATAGGGGATAGTAGGGATTTTATTAGGGTCCTCTTACATTTCTATTATACGTGGTTACAGGGTGTGGGGTCCTCCCAATATATATATATATATATGGTAGCCCCCCCCCCAAGATCTACGCCTAACCTGTTTTATCTTCATGAATGCTTCATGTGCCATCTTCGTGAACATATTGTATCAGCCGAAAACACTGTAAATAGCGATGAATCCTATACTTTTGAATGAAATTAGTCATAT